ATTTCGGGTGCGAATGCGTAACGCATGATTAGCAAGTCTGAGACGTAACAGCTCATTTTTCATCTTTGTGTACTCATCCTTCATTGATATCCTGAAAACCACTAATTGGAGGTGTTCTTTGAAAATAATCGAAAACTTACATGAGAGAGCGTCGAGTTTCATGGAGCAGTCCTTCGTAGCCTGTCGCTTCTAACTCGGCCGAGAGATGCTCGATTTCAGTACGTAATTCAGCGACTTGAGAAGTCAATAGGTTAACTGAACAATCACTTGGGCTTTTAGAATTTCTGGTGCGAGGTTATTTAGCAAAAAAAAATCGGCACTATTTACCCTTTACTGCCCCACTCTGTCGAGAAAGGGCTGGATTTCTATCGAATTTTTTCAAAGAAGATGAAACCGGCTAGAAACTTGCCTAGAGGGGTAATTTGACCCGTAGAACACGAATATCGCATCCACTCATCATGAAAACGCTTGCGATACTAGTTAGGGGCAAGTTTTCAGTAGGATATCTAACCCAGCGATTTAGCGCAGGCGCCTGTAGCGCAAGCGCTAGGCATCTTTATGACAAATGGATGCAATATTCGTGTTCTACGGGTCAAATTACCCCTGTAGGCACGTTTCTAGCCGGTTTCATCTTTTTTGAAAAAATTCGGTAGAAATTCAGCCCATTCTCAACAAGGTGGGGCGGTAAAGGGTAAATAGTGCCAAAAAATTTTGCGCTTTAATTATCCATCTCTAGTTTGATAATCTTGAAAAAGAATGTAGACATGTCCGAAATGTACCTTGCTCTTCTAGCGCAACACGCTCGTTTGTTAAAGCCTCTCGTTGCGATAGCCGAGATACAGTATGCTAGAAAATTATTATTGTGTGATCAAGAAGCTTCTTCAGTGGGATTTCCCACGTATGCTCATCAACATACACCAAGGATGGAAATAATTCCATTCTTTCTACCAGGAACCGTGGATCCATCATCTTTATTTATTATTACAATTTTCATTATCAGATCTATTAATGAACATTGTAACAATAAAAAAAGACTGATGAATGACTCAACTACTTCTAGGCTCCAGCGCACGAAGTAATAAAATGATAACCAACCATTTCAGAAAGTTTCTCCAACATGTCCTGGTACATATCCTTTATATTTTGACCCTTTTCCTCATCTAATTCAGCTCGACGCAGATCTGCAACTTTCTTTTCGAGCTCGTCATTCTTAGCCTGCTCGTGTTTCTCTGCTGCTACTGCTCTGAATACAAGAAATTTAGTGCAATCCATCAAATGATGAGCTGAGGAGAGGCTGAATATAGTACGAGATTGCATAGTTCTCTTCACGAGCTTCTCGGCAGGGAAATCTCGAGAAGCAAACCTGCTTTTTGTTCTGGGTTGTGGTGGAAATAGAAGGGAACAAGAAAATGATTTGGAAGAGATTAACCGCTGAATACAATGTTGCTCCTTTTTATGATGAAAATGAATAGATAGAATTAGTATCCCCTTCGCCTTTTGAGTCCCTTGGGCAAGATATTGCTGCGACTGGTAGTTAGTATTCGTATCCCCGTCATGTATCTTTAACTATCGAACTTTGCTGCTCGAGGTTTTGACTGAATAATGTCACAAATGATGTAAAAGAATCAATTCTTAACTGCTCACTTAAGCTGATTATGGCCTGTGTAGATTGTCTCAACTTACGGCCGCTAACCAATTTCATCTACCAGACGCAGCATTATCTTGCTGAAGCGACTCAAAAGGCGAGTGGGAGGATACTAATCCTATCTATTTATCATAAACAGAGCAACATTATACTCAGTGATTTATTTCTTGCAAACCTTTTTTTCTAGTTGCCCTTTTGTTTCCACCAGAACTTTTACTAAGGCTTTGCTAGGAACTAGCTAGGGAACCAGGAAAAGTATAGGGGTGTGGTTAGGAACACGCTTCACAGAAATGAAAGAACAACCAACATCACTTTAGCAGCAGCAATTTCTTGTTGTGCATTGGTCAAACTTTTTAGCTCTGCCCTCAATTCCAAATGGGAAATTTCTGCATTGGTTATTTTTGTTTTACCTGAAACCCACTGAATATGACAAAAACGGGCGTATCAAGGGAAAAGTATGAAGACCACTTACTTTCAAGACACTTTTGAAATTTTGCCAGTTGCTCTTGTTCGTGTGCTTCCGTTTTCGTAGTCACTTCGTCCGCTGCTGAACATTTTGACTTCAAAAAAGAAAAAAATTCAATTAGTCCGATATATCATACCTTTTATCACTCCAGCTTTAATTTTCTTGAGTTCCTCAAGAAATTTAGTGGCAATCTGTTCTGCCATAGCTGAAATGCTATTTTTTGAGTACATAAACCAAAAACATAAAAGTCCAGAAAATGACAAACACAAGTGTAAGTAAGCCGGTATCAATCAAAAGTTGTGGGTCCCGACAACCATCTTCTAAATACGGTATCTCAAGGTAGATTCATTCCTTTTAATCTCATTCATGGGATTTTGGGAAATCGGTCGTGAACGTGCACCGATTACAGGGATAGTATTTCATGCTACACGAAGTTCTTACTCGTGTTAGACCAAATTGAATCAGATCCGACCAAAGGGGCTTCTAGGCTTACGAGCCCGTGAGCCATAGCTCAGTAGGGCTCAAAAGTCCAGCCCAGCAGGCTGCTACCAACAACCCTTGAGGTATAAAGGGACTTAGCGATAAGATGGTGAGGGAAAACGAAGTGAGGGATTGCTGCCGACAAGAGTTAAAGCAATAGGTCGTAGTGCACAGTAGCGTCTACACTCGGTGAATTGCAATCACCGTCACCACCCCACTCATTTTGGGACACCACAGTTCCATCAAGTTAGAAAAGAAGTTGTTCTGGTGGAAAGCTAAGAACCGACGACGCGACAGAAGCGGTCAGAAGCTTCGAGTACGCGTTGCTGTCAGTTGATCGAAAATAACAAGTGGCTTAATCTTGTAGCAAAATCGATGAATCAATAAATCAATGTACCATTCTAGTAATAGCCTGTAATAGAAATGTTCTTGAACTCCTGAACAAAATCAAACAAAGATATCACTAATAAGACACCCCTTACTATATACAGTTGAATAGCGGAGCCAAGGTAGCTGACAGCCACAGTTCATGGGCGTCGCTTCGCGCGCCCAAACTACTCTCTGCTCGTCTGAGCCCTCTCACCGAGAAAGGGTTGAGTGATATTTTCTTAATCCCGGTGAATTTTCGTAGTTTCTTATCATCAATATCTAATAGTGATATTTCGATTATTTCTTCTACTTCTTCTACTTTCTTCTACAGCTTCATTAATTACCTATCCATCTTTCAAACAATCCAAAAACTGAGAAATCCAAATATAATGCTTTCAAAAATTTATGGGTAGAATGTGAGGATAAAATGGAGAGGCCGTTTTTTATTCCCATTCTTTGCCGTAAAAGGATATTAAACTTGTATCCAATTAGAACTTAGCAAATGGGCATTCCTACAGGGCGT